GCGATGAGGAGCAGCACACATCAAGGGCAGGCAAAACCCAGTTACCCTGCACCTTTAGCACTTACACCAGCAGGTCTCAGCTACACCTGACGTTTTGCTTATGTGGGGTTGAAGGCAATTTCCAGCAGTAAAGCCAGAGTCGCCAACCCCCAGCCTAGGGAACAGTCTCCCAACACCCCCGAGCGACCCTTTCCTGGAGCTGCTCCCCCTGGGGTTTCGCTTTGCTGATTTCCTGCAATCCCACCCTCAGGCCCAAACTACTCCATGGTTTCTGGGGAAATGCTTAAGGCAGTTTAGTGAAAGATCAAGTATCTCCCAAAACCTGACCCCATGCCCTTGCCCAGCAGCCTCTGCAGCGTGGGGCACGCAGCTGCGCAGGCCAAGGTGAAGGTACATGAGGTGCATCACCTGTCTGCATTTGATGTCACTTCCCAGTCACTGTCACAGCAACCTCACCACCACAAAAGGATTTTCCTGCCAGGCTGACCAGCCTTGACAACAGACCCAAGACAGAGGTTAAACTGAGCGAGTAGCCCACACACAGACCCCGTGTACCCAGGATGAGGCTCCCTCTCGGTGTTGGAATCACCACAGGCTCGGTGCTCGCTGCTCCTGAGCCTGCTCCACAGTCCTGCTCTTCCAAACACAGTGTAGGTTCATTCTGCCCTCTCCACTCTGTTCCTTTCTCCCCCACAGCCACGGTTCCAGGTTAGCTGTACCATTAGTTCTTGCCATGGTTTATAGTTTGTACACACTGGTGCTCCTGCTGACAGCTCAGAGTTTCCCCCCCTGAAAAGCAGCCTGACAGTGATGAACACATTACTAAAACATTGATTTTTAAGGAAGATAAAAGGTAGACAAGTCTATTTGTAGTGATCCCTGCCATTAAAAATTAACAGAGCCAGCAGGCTGATGATGGCTCCGTTGGGAAGAGCAAAGCCTTGTGCAGAGCTCCCACAGTGGGTACCTCACCAGTCTGCCTGATGGTGGTGTAGGGAGAAGAGCGATCACAACCCGCATCCTGTGAGTCTAACAGCACGTTGTGTAAGTTGTGCTGAGCTCTTAGACTGAGCTAAACCCACAGAACAAACAAAATGAGAAACAGACTGGAGACAAGTCACACATTGTGGTTCCCTCTAATCATTTTCCACAGTTCAGGTGTCTTTACAACAAAATAAACTACCTTGGTTTTCCAAAACACCCATCTCTAGGGAGCGTAAGCAATGCTCCCTCTGGAAATCTGCAACAGAAACTACAGCACGAGCTGCTGAAATGAAAGAAAAAAAACCAGACCACACTGCTGCTAGTAGGTTTTGGGGTTTTTTGTTTGTTTGTTTTTTTAACACTACCCTTACACTGCCAACTGAGATGTACTGCAACTTGTTTATAATTTGAACTGGACTTTTTTCTATATTTGATATTATTAACTCTCTTCACATAGACCAAACAGATGTTACGGTGCTTAAAGCATTACCAGCACAATCCAATACATTGAACATACTGCATGTAACAAGCCTCAGATTTATCATACTTTCTTTTTAGCATTTCATCCTTTCTCTGCTGATGAGGTCAGAATATTTTGTGATACGTAACAACATTTTTTTAAAAAGAAATACAAAGTAGATAGTTCCTTATTACACATAAAACGTCACGTGGAACTTGTGATTATAAATACCTGGTAATACATAACATCCATTTATAAAGGCTGCTCATATCATGTGTATGCAGAGCAACACAGAAATCATTCCAATTGCTTCCATTAGTGTTTTGTCACTTTCAGGAAAGTCTTTTCTATTATTTTCACTTCTTATCTTTGACATGAAGGAGGACTCCACACATTGAAATGAAAGAACCAAAGGCAGCAGAGCCACTGAAGGAGAGCACTCCTCATTTCTGCTCACTGCTTGTTCTGCTTCATAACGGGATGTGAAGGCACAGGGTGCACGGCTGGACCTGCTGAATTCAGCAGTGTCAGGAGTTTGCTTTTGTGATTCAGGCCAATATACTTCTGGCTTTTCGTCTTCACAATTATAATAATATATATATAGATATATTTAATAGGAAATGGTTTATTTTACTGTACAGTAACTGTCAGTAGCAGCCAAATCTTACTGCTTGTACAACAAAATTCGTTAGCACCACATCTCGTAGTGCACAGTCACTGAAATTCACTCCTGTTTCTGTTCTATGAATACTTCTTTGCTCCTTCCCCTCAAATAATATAAACTCATAAAGGTTTATTCTTCCATTTAATAATTACCATTTGGATGCAGCATTGCATGGGCAGGGAGAGGAAGGAACTGCACAGAAGCTGTAATAATATGTTATGTTGCATCAGCATTAGGGCTGCTCTGCCAATGCACCCCGTGCCCTGGCTGCTCACAAACTCACTAAGGACTTGTTGGGTCTTGGTGCAGGCGGCCCCGCGGCCCCTCTGCCCGTTTGTAGGTGGGACAGGAGGTGGTTGGTGTGGAGGAAGCTTCACCAACAGCTGTGTGCAGCTGTTCCCTTCCCCCTTTGCTTCACTGTCGTGCTGCACATGCGGCACCGAGGTAAGAACACAACCCTGCAGCTGACTGTGGCGGTTACTGTAAAACCAGACTCTCTGTTAACTCTGTCTGTGAGGTGTGTGAATCATCTCCATAGACAGAGAGTTAAGACACTTCACAGTAAGAAACCAAGTCAGGACTCACCCTGGGAAATCTTGTTTGGATTCCACTGTGAATTCTCCTAGATGGTCACTGGTATCGTGCCCCAGCGGGCAGGTCTCCTCAGCTCTTTAGATTTTGTTGCTGCAACTACAGTGATACATTTTTTTTTTTTTCTGTGCATTCATATAAAGAACAAAATTTAAAATATACATTTTATTTTTTAAAAGTTATTAAATATTCTTTAAAGTTTACACCAGAATGTCTTTTGTATTCTTTATAATCAACCACACAAGCTCTGCAGTGAGTATTCACATACCCAAAGATGTGTGTGTGCAAGTGCACACACACAGAGGATGCAATTAAAAAACACACAGCATACTCTTTTTTTGTCATTTCTCATTACCTAGCTTTGATTTGACCTGTCATGCCTTATAGATTTTATTATTATTATTCTTTAAGTGGCTTGCTTACCCATTCCCAGGTAGATTTACACTCATTTCTGTTTCCTCTTAAGGAACCTGAAATTATGTGATAGTTGATAAAAATTCAGGAAATACTGGGGGATTTGGCTTACAGTGCAACAAAATATTTAGACCAGAAACCAATTATTTTCTGTTTAGAACTTGTTGGCTACTGGTAATTTTGAAATAAAGGACTTTTCTTTTTCTGAGGTAGTTGCTTAGATTCAGAAATTACATAGAAAAACTTGGGAAATTCACACCAGACTGTGTGAAAATGGAACATCCTGGCACTGCTGCGTCAGATCAGAAAACAGGTCTGGTCTCTCCAGTCCC